TTGTTGTTTTACCTTCTCTGTTTGAAGTTCATATATTAGTATTAGTGATATTTTAGATGATTTGTTAGCCATGATTATTTAATGTGACATGATAATCTTTCATGTATTTATTTTTATCTATAAATGAGTGAAATTTTTGTTGTGATCTTATGGACCAAAGGCACCCAAAAGTAGAGGATCGTCACAATACTCTCAAGAATATGTTGAGTCAGTCTCGCCTTGTAATGATAGAGTAATCATTAGTGACTCAACAACTGCAAACTCAATAACTAAAGATCGAGAGCATTGGCAGCTCAACAAGAGGAGACGCAACGACAACACATGAACCAACACAAGAGTTTGAGAGAAAGCTTCTCGAAATGAAAAAGACAATCAAGATGTTTATGAAGGGAGGAAGTTCATGATCACGTAGTAAGATATGTTTTGATATTAGTACCTTGGTGTTCTGGTTATGATATAAAGTTTGAGATTTACGTATGAAGGGTGTCTAGAGTATTTTTTTTTTTTTACATACGTGTGTAGTATGTTTTATGATTTGAACTTTATCAAGTATGAATTATGATGAAGGGGAGGGGGAATTATTATTATTAAGTATGACATGATTTGCGCATGTTTAAGTTAGTTATTGCTGTTATGGTTTTTAAGTAATGTATTGCGATTGTTTTAGTTTAGTTATTTATATAGGTTACGCTTTATGCGACGAAATGGTGAAACAGACGTAAGGACGACGGTATCCCGCGTATGTCCTATGATATTGTCTGCTTTGGACATAGTCCTCATACCAACAGAGATAATTGTCCTATCTTATATATCTATGATCATCCTCTTAGCTAGCCAATGTGAGACTTTGTTTATACTTCCTATACAAACCCAACACTACAGAGACTAAAATAAATCAAATTGAAAGTACAGTGACCAAAATATACAGACGTTTTAAAAGTAATGGACCAAAATGAGTCAAAGCTAAAAATACGCGCATTTATATATATTTTTCCCATTTAAAACTTCTAAAGTACACACAGCATAACAATAGAGATACCATAAGGAATCCATTAGGATATTATTTATTTAGATATTTCAACAACCAAGCCAAGATTTGGTGTTTTTTAGTTCATTTGTTGCAAAGGTAGGCATCAAGGGCTTTGCACGATTTAACTCCAAATTGGAGATAGTTATGTGGTGGAGGAACATCTTCATTTTTCTTCACAAACTCCACAGACCATTTAACTGAGTTCATGCCATGCCTTCCACCATCACTAACTTCAGCCTTCACTTTGAACACTTCAAAGTCTCTAAACAAATCTCCTTCAAGGCATTCCAAAGTTATTGATTTGTTAGCCTCATCCATAACTAGCCTAAACCTTACCTCTGCTGGGCTACCTGTGTGTTCTCGCAAAAAAAAATAAAAAAAAAAATAAAAAATAACGTTACAAGTAAGAATTGACTTATACAGTATATATAATTGATTCACAAAACTCGACTTGTGAACCAACAAAGACTCCATGGCCCAATGGACAAGGCGCTGGTCTACGGAACGAGAGATTCTGGGTACGATCCCCAGTGGAGTTGGCATCTCAATTTAAAACGTAGGGTTGTAATCGGTCTATCTGAGCCATATTTTTTCAAATTTTTCTTCGGCTTTTTGTTTGGTTATGTTTTGTTCTGTTAAGAATCCCACATTGAAAAAAAAAATATTGGAGAAATATGCATAGAAAACTTAAGGAAACACAAAACTAAAATCTGAACCCACGTAGCGTTGTTTCCTTAAGACAATTTTGTTTCCTCTACAGTGTTCAAGGTTTCATGAACAATTTATTTAACTACTCGTACAGAGGAGAAAAGAGAGAATTATTTTTAAACCACGTATTTATAGACTATTTGTAGTCATTCAAATAGCCATATCTTTTCATGTAAGGTTTTGTCTTTTGATAAAATGACATAATCTTTACAAAAGACGCACTCGTTCATGAAAAGTTGTGATTCTTCACTTTTAACAAAAATAATTTTATTCAAAAATTCCAACAGAAAATAGCCCTTGTAAAGATTTATGGCAGACATGTATTACTTTTCTCATTGTTAATTCATATATGATTTGAACACAGGACCTCCCGCTCTGTTACCATATTAAGAATGAATAAACCACCACTGATTCACTGAGATGGAACGCATGAATATTAATATGGTATCAAAGTCCAAAAATTCAAACGAGCATCCAATCTAAAAATGGGAGCCAAAAAGACTCACGATCTTGAGAGAACATGAACCCCACGACCTCATAAAGTTTTAAGAATTTCAATTTCTTCATTTATATGAATTGGATTTTTCTACAATTAAATCTTTATCGTGTCACTAAATGTAAAAGAAAAATCGCTATACATAGATTTTAAGAGAGGTAATTACATAAATAGCATAGAATAAATATGTACCTTTTAATATATAACGATTCTGACACTTTGTTCTTCTTGTTTTGGTTTTGTTGAATAATATTATAATGATTTTCAAGTAAAATATATAAATGCAATGAAATATATTCTGTTCTATTTCGCACTAGAAATTTTCTATTTAAAAAGAAAAAAATAAGATAAGATTCGAGTCCCATTGTTTGTTTATTTATCATTCACAGCTTTGAATTGAATGAGAGATTATTGTATGAATGGCAAGAGGGAAGATGTGAAGGAATAAAGCTACTTTCACTCGAGGAAATTTGAACAGAAATGGAAGGAAAATGTATAGAAAAATTGCCTACAGTCAAGGTTTTAAATGTCAATCTCGATGAAAATGTCGAGTTCTCAATTTGATGGAAATATTGATAAAATGTCGATGTCAATAGATATTTATGTAAAGTTAAAAAATCGTAAAAAATATTTAAATTAACAAAACGAACATTTTCCTATTTCTAAATTAGTTAAAAATAATTATATTATTTATATATTAGTAACATTTTGTTGATATTTTTCATATTTTGTCGATTTTATTGTACTATGATGGAAATGTCGATTTACCCCTCGTGTCGATGTCGAACTATGAAAACATGGATATATCGATAGAAATGTCGACATGTCAACAGATATTTAGAACCATACCTACAATGGCATCTTGATCTCTAATATACGATTACATCTTGAGCATGATTCTTTGTTAGGATTGTAGAGCTTAATCATCGGGATAGGTTTGATCGAAACTCGAGAAGCTTAGTAGTTTACCTCAAGTGTTGCACGTACTTGACCATCATTCTTTGGAGCTTCTTAGCATACAATCTATTACTAAAGAATTTTTAAATCAAATCGAAAACTATTCAACTAGCTAGGTTAACAATGATAATATATTTGCATGGTAATTTATAAGTTCGTTTAGACATCTTGTTCTCATTCTCCTAGAAGTTAAAGGTTCAATTCGTGATCTCTGCGTATTTGTGGTAAAAAAAAAAAATAGCTCACGATTTCTAAGAAATAATCTAGGGAAGAATTCATGGCAATAATTGAAAGGGGAGTAGCAAAGCTCTTCAAGTTTGGGGAATTTCTTGAATATGCCACTTGCTAGAGAATGAGATTCATCAAAGACGATAATAAATACAAATTATGTCTTTCTTTAGCTAATTAAAATATTCTTGGAGCGTTTTGAGAATATTTATGTCGTGAAACCTTCTAATCTTGTCGTAAGTAGTTTAAAGAATATATAGCTGAGCCTCCTCTGGTTCAATCATCTTTCTTCTGTTATTACGATATTTTTACCATTTCTTTTAATTGCAGCTCGTTTATTTAGCCTCCTCCTCTGGTATGTTTCTCACATACTTTTTTGAATGAATGGTGTGTCGTTTTTTCAAAAAAAAAATAGTATAAGGGCAACATCGAAATTGGCACATGACTGTGATCCAGAGGTTATGAATTTGAATCTCCCACCCTCATTTCTTTGTATTCAAAAAAAAGAAAAAGACCAACATTATTGAAATATTGTGTTGGAATATTAATTATCTTATCATTAACCTCCAAGCAATGTTTAAAATGTCGATAAAAATATTGAAAGGTGATCTAACTCACCTAATCTTTGCCAAATGGTTTTTTTCAACTCGCCAGATTCATAAAATTTCATCTCAAAACTAGGAATGATAAGTAGTTCATGTAACTTATAAACCTTGTTAGGTCCTTTGATCTTTTCAATGTAGGATCCTTAATATTCTAACATTTAAAAAGTATCAAATAGGTTCTTAAACTTTTAATTATTTTAATATGTGTCTAATAGGTCGTTTAACTTTCAATTTATGTCTAATAGGTCAAGACATAAATTGAAAGTTAAACGACTTATTATAGACATAAAATATAGTAAGGTTATGGTACTATTACAAACAAAAATTCAATTTTATGTTCAATAATCTAAAAAAAACGTCAAATAGGTCATGTACTTATTATATACAAAGTTGAAAGTTTAGAGACCTATTTAACAATTGTAAACATGATCTATATTAGACACAAAATTGAAACTTTAAGAACTTATATTAGACAGATTTTATAAAGTTCAGTGTCCTAGGACACAACCTCTTGAAATTTCAAAGATTAAACCATGTAACTTAACCATATTTTTATGACATAATAAAAACATCATTCACTCCCTATAATTATGTATAGCCGCTGGATATATATAGAAATATCGAAATGGAAATGAAAATTTAAAAACATTGTGTTAAGAATCTCACATTGAAAATATAGGCTGTGATCTAACAAAGGTTTATGATATACATATGGATTACTTCTCTCATTGTCAATTGGTTTTGAAATGGAACCTCATGAATATTAATATGGTATAGAGTCCAAAATGGTCCAAAAATAAGATCCGGCCAAGATTTATGAACCAAAAGAGACATCATCTTGAGGACAAGTTAAGGATCCTACATCAAAAAGATAAGCGATCTAACAAATGTTTAAAATGTACAATTGATTTTGAGATAGAACTCCGTGAATATTAATACATTACGTTAAAAGTAGTCACATAATTAACAATATAGATAATAAAGGAAAGCCATGGATACCATAAATATAATGAACCCAAATTTATTCATACAATATATTTCAACAACCAAAGCCAAGTTGGTGTTGCTTTTTTTGTAGTTCATTTGTTGGAAAGGTAAGCATCAAGGCCTTTGCACACTTTAACTCCAAATTGGAGATAGTTATGTGGTGAAGGAACATCTTCATTTTTCTTCACAAATTCCATACACCATCTGACTGAGCTCATGCCACTGTTTCCACCATCTGTAACTTCAACTCTCACTTGGAAAACTTCAAAATCCTTTAACAAATCTCCTTCAACACATTCAAAAGTAATTGATTTGTTGGGCTCATCCACCATTAGCCTCGTCTTTACTTCAGCTGGGATACCTGTGTTTTGGCCGAAAACAAACCAATAATAAATCCAAGAGTTTCATATATATATATATATATTTTGTTTTCACTACTTCCTTTTAAGGTACAGGCTCGAAACCCAATAATGTGAACTATTAATATCAATTCAAGGAGAAAATTGCGTTGAAAGGGTGAGGTGTCTTAGCTATAATCTATCTCATATATATTAAATCTACAAAGGATCCCGTATAAAAAAGAAAATATATTTTATGAAGATTTATAATTGACATGAATTACTTCTCTCATTTGAGATTGACCCATGAATATTAATATGATCTCACAAAAATGGATCCGGCCAAAATTGATGAGTCAAAAACGTCACCATAAATCTAAGAGCTCTATTATTGACCCTTGTAGATCATGACTCTTTTGGCTCAAAGTTCTTCGTCGGTCGTTTGAACTTTAATAGTCTATCAATATTCATAGGTTACATGTATATGTATATAGTCTCTATAGCACGTATGTAGTCTCTATAGTGCGCAGGCATGTGTGTATATATATATATATATATGCTTGCTATAGAGACTAGAACAAATATTCAAAAGTTAGATATAACAAAATAGAATAAGCATGAAAGTTTAGAGTGCAGCAGGTTTACATGACGCTGCCATGAGTGAAACCATTTCCCTCCACAAACTCATAGCCCTTGAGGTTTTGAGGGAACAAATGAGCAAAACGATCCATTTTGTTCGCAAAATGGTCATAGAATTTTTGGCCACAAGACTTGAGCTGAACCTGCTCTGAGATCTTAGCAATCTGAGCCATATTTTCAAAAAGCTTATAATTAAGATCTGTTTATTCATGTCCTTATAAGGAAGGGAGGAGCCTTTTTTTATAGCCAAATGCAGCACAAGTAGTGGCTGTTGGGTTGATTCTCACACTTTATTCTTCTTCTTTCTTTTTCTTTTTTTATTACCTAAATCGATGTCGTGTGGCTTACGTTGTGATCTCTATAACTAAGACTCGTTGCATGTACTGAGCAATGCAGTGACCACTTGAACTGAACACTTCGTCATAGGTTATACACAAAAAGTAAAATAAATGTGTTGTTAATGGAAATATTCTGTGGGTAATGAGTGAAGTTTGTTTCAGCCGTTGAACCTAAGATTCGAGTCCCATTATTGCTCTGAATTTCTTGCTGTTTTAAATACTTTAGCTTTGATAAGTTGAATGGGAGATTATATATATTATAAATATTTAAGGGGGGAGATTAGAGAAATAAATGGCTTGGTTCGAAATGTTCTCATTTTCCATTTAGAAATTGTTTGTGTTTATCATTCATTTCTCATTTCTAAAAAACGTTTCTAAAATTTTGTAGAGACTTTGGACACAAAATGACCAAAAGTTTCATGTTTAATTTCCTGTGTCATCGTCAAGTTCTGAACTACTTATTGAGCCACCAAAAAGGAAGATGATCTCATGATCCCTCTCATTCAAATATGGTATCGATATATTCATGTACCCCTTCTGTTTACTCAGACGTTACAGTTGTACTAAAAATAATAATAATAAAATAAGATTTCTGGTAGTGTATGTGCTAGAATCATTGAGCTTAGCCATTAAACCAGAGTTATCTAAACAAAAGTTAAAAGTTGGGAAAAAAATTTTGAAAGCCAAATCCATATACCATAGTATACTTCTTTTTAGTTCAACAATAACATTTGTGCATGGTGGGGATTCGAGTCTCCGATCTAACCGATTGAGCTATATTTATATTGGCAAAATTACGTTTATATATCTTGGTTGCTAAGAATAATTTCTAAGAAAATTATCACAAACGCTAACCTAAGCATAAACATAACTTAATTGGTTCATTATGATATATATCTTCGACCAAAAGATTATGGGTTGTTACCTATCAAAAAAAATTATGGCAATCATCGAATGGGAATATAAAGAGCTATTTCATATTTGGGAATAATCTCTTTGAAAAGCCAACTACCATCGAGAAGAATGAGATTCAACTCAATAAACTAAGAAAAATATAATATCTTTATATATGATTATCTCAAACAATTCAAAAGCATTTGTGAAAGATTAGCATTTGCTAAAATATGCCCTATATTCAATCTCACGCAACAAGTCTTTTTTTTTTAAATGTTGTGGAATAATAATACGAGAGTAGAAAATCTCTTATGTGAATGCACTTTATTTTAAAATATTGTAATAGATGTCTCTACAGAAGACTTCTATATATTCTCTGTCATAGGTTAAAATTTTTACTTTTTATTAATAAATGTAATATTTTCCCAAAAAAAAAAAAAAACTATTCATTATTAAACTAAACTATTGAAAATGCGACCAGAAAAACTCCACATCGGCTAAATATATAAAAGAAGAAAACCATGAGTATATAAAGTGTAGAATAACATCTCTCTAAGGCCTTGATGTTTAAATTAAAATTTAACTTCCAAATCTGCTACCAAAACACATATCGTTTACATTATTTTTCAAAATAAGTAGATATTGAGAACGAATTGCTGGGGCGTGTAATATCCTCATCATCTCATAAAAATAAATAAATAAAAACCTACAATTACAAGAAGAATAGTCTAATTTGTTATATTAGAGGCTTTCCAAAAATGTCTCTCTAGCTTTTTTTTAAGAGAAATTGCAGCGGGTGACAAAAATCTTTTATGTATTTCAAAATATGTCACTATTTTTAAAATTTTAAAATATAACAAAAATTTTCACTTCTATGAGTATAGTATATAAGATACTCTTATCACTGGTATATTAGATGTATATCATATACATATTGTGCAGACACTCATATCAGTAGTATATCAGATGTATATCACATACATATATCAATAGTCATGTATATTACAGATATATATCATTTTGATAAAGTTGTCTGTTTAAAATTGGACCTCCGTTTTTTTTAAGTGCTATATTTGAAAAAACTTAATGTGTGGTTGTTATTTTTAAATTCTGTTTTTGTCATATTTACAACTACCCCTTTTCTAGATGAACAAAAGAGTTGATAAAGCTACATCTACGAGTGCTTTTGGCATAGTTAAAAGCACTTTTTTACATGGGACCAAAAGAGATTTCTCCTTTAACGTCATTGTTGTTAATTGGGGAGCAATACAAAAATAGTACTTTTCAAAAAAGTCTAAGAGTACACTTCAGTAAAAAGTACCTTAAAAATGTAAAACCAAACATCAAAGTGATAATTTACTATTAATTAAGCACATTATAATAAACCGCTTAGAATTAAAGTACTCTCGCAAAGCACATAGTCTCACTCAAGAAGTAAGTCGTGTCTCTTCTTCTAATTCTTCCTCTGCTTCAGGCGTGGGCAGAGTCTCTATGTCCACCCTATTCGATTTCTTGATTTCGTTTTTTAGAAAACAATCTCAAACGCCACATTAGGCGACACATCTAAGAACTTTGTCACACACTTTGATAACTTTCAATTACATACATTAAACAACACCCATTTTTCCCCAAACCCCACATTTTCCTTACATATAGAACATAACATTGCACATAATAATTTATTATTTGAGAACAAACCCAAGTAGAAACATAGCAAACTCAATTAGGTCACACACATACTTAGTAATTTATAGGGGTTTTGATTTAGTTCTTGTTATTGTAAAGGTAAGCATCAAGGCCTTTGGAGACTTTGACAGCCAAATCCATGTAGTTTTCTGGTGAAGGCACATTTTCATGTGCCTTTTCAAACTCAATGGTCCATTTTGCAAAGCCTCCCCCTTTGGCTAACCCTCCATGAATTGCTTCAAGTTTTGCTCTGAATAATTTGAAATGCTTTAACATGTCCCCTTCAACAACTTCATAGATTATGTATTTTTTCACATCATCCACAGCTCTCAACTTTATCTTCGCGGCTTCTGGACTCCCTATATTATAATGAACGGTAAATAGGTTTGTCATATTTGTAAATATATTCCAAGGAATAAGATTTTGTAAACATTGCGATTTTGTAGGAGTATGATGATCACTGGTGGACCTGACGTCTATCAAATATATATCGTTGATAGAAAAGTGATAAACCCGATAAATAGTGCTACTCCAAACTCACCCTAACACATATTTTTTCTTCAAAACAACGAGAAACAAGAAACGTTATCGAACGGGACTACTTTCTCGATAAATCCTGATAAATATAGTACTATATGTTTTCTTTGCTTAAAACACTCTTCACTCTTTCAAAAGTACTAGCTACTTCATCCCAGACTCACCCCAAACACATGTTTTTTCTTCAAAACAAACAAGATCAAATAAGAAACGTCGAACGGGACAGACGACTTTAAACCCTAATAATATATACACATAAATAGAGTGAGGAAAGAGCAAACAATACTAATAATCTCTCACCAAGATGGTATTGCCAATGCATAACACTTCCAGCAGAGAACTTTTCTCCTTCCACAAACTGAAAGCTCTTGAACTGCTCAGGAAACATATGGACCAAATCTCCCATGTGGTTTCTGAAGAACCCATAGAACTTCTCAGGAGGAGATTTCAGCTCAACCTTTGCCCAAATGCTATCACTGTGGCTCATTTTTTCTCTTTTTTTTCCTTTCTTTTGATGGTGTAAAAAACTTTAGCCTGAGAGAGGGATTTTATAGTGAATTTGGGTGAATATTTTGGGAATTATATATTTGTTTTGAGGATCTGCATTAAGAACTTAACAAGGATTTATAATATAAGTGGATTACTTCACTCATTGTCAAATGACTGTGACATAGAAACTCCATGAATATTAATACCGTATCAGAGTTCAAAATAACTCCGACAAACATCCGGTCCAAACATGGGATCCGATCAATATCGATAAACCAAAAAAGCTACGAACTTGAGAAAACATGTCAAGATCCCTCGTTGGAAAGAAAATGAGTCTTACAAAAAATTTTATAATAGGTATAGACTACTCTTCTTATTGTTAATTGACTTTGAAATAAAACGCATGAATATTGATATTTTGAACTAGCTATCCACTCAAATAATTTGTCTAACTTTTTTTTTCCCTTAAATTATCCTCTTTGTGGCAGTTCCATGTACACCCTTTTCCCCACTAACTATGCATTTAAATAATCCAGTTTTTAGGGTTGTTAATTATCCGTGACAGATCAGGCAAACTGTGTAAAATAATCTTATTTGCTTTTTCATGTGTTCTTGTTAAAGCTGGCTACCTAATTAGTATTATAAGCTTGGAATTGTTTAGGGTCATTTTGTACCGATTGAACCGAGAAAAATATAATTGTATTTGATAATTGTTTTTTATTTTGTTGTTCTTTACCGAAACATGTTTCGTAAATACTATTTTTCTTATATATTTTTTATTTTCTAAAATTTTAAATGAAAAGAAAATGTAAAAGTTTTATATGAAAATTGATTTTTCAAATTAAATGTTCAAATTTTGTATGTTATATTTATTTTTTGATATTTATTATAAGTTAAAATATTTTCAAATTAATACTTTTATCTATGTTTTGGGAAAAACTAGAAAACATGAACAGTAAACTTGATTTAGAGTATAAATGTTTTGATATTTATTATATTTTTTATGCTGGTGTTGGCAAGAATAAGAAATTTGTTAGAATAAATTATCAAACTAGATGAGGTCTTTGTGTAAATCTTCATCAATTTAATTTAATTGAAGCTTAAGAATATGCAAAATATATAGGATGTAGTCTAGCTACGAAATTAACCTAAATATAATAAATTCTCTTGTTTTTTCTTTTCCTTTTGCTTTCTTCTTTTTTTCATATTACTGTGTTCATCACCTTCTGTGGGGGTTTTTTGAAAAAACTGAAGGGTTTTTTAAACTTAATTGAAAAAAACAGGTGAGTTTTGAAAATTTTGGATATTTGGGATTTTGCGCCTTTCAAAAAGACGTGTTTGACTAGTTTTATACGAATGCGGAGACGCATTCAGCGCACTTTTTTTGGAACAGACTCCGTCAGTTTAAACTGACGGAGTTATTCAGGATGCGTCTCTCATCCGTCTTGGAAATTTAAGTGGATTCCCTGCGGCGGTTCGGAGGTTCCTTGGTTCCTTGCAAGGAACCTCCCTGCACAATTGGAGTTTTTTTTTTTTTCAAATTCAATATATTAAATATCTGTTTTACTCCCTCCTCATTTTTTCATTCTTCTTCTAACTCGGGTCTCTCATTCTTCCTCCTATTCTATCTTCATCATCACTCTCATTTTAATCCTACTTTTGTTTCCTTCCCTTTTTTCCTTCTATTTTTTGTTTCCTTCCTTACTTCCCTTCCATTTTATCTTCACCATCATCCTTAAATTGTTAATATTTTTATTGTTTATTGTTTATTTTTTAGTTTTATTATTAATTTTCTTTTGTTGTAGGAACCGTTCAAATTTAATAGAGATAGCAAACTTGGAGCAAGATTTTGTCTACAATACAGGTATCTTTAATTACTTTATTATATATATTTAAAATATTACTGAGATATGGAAATATTTTTTAATATGAATTTTAATTGAGGCATATTTTTGCACATTTTTGTTTTAGTAATTGAATTTAAAAAATGCATGTGTATTTTTTATGAGTTTGTGAGTTTATTTACTTTTTAAAAAAATTTATAAAATTTAAGCAAAATATTGAAAACTAAAAAAAAATATATATTTTTACTTTGGAGCATGTATATTTTGAAAAGACAAAAAAAATAAAGTCATATTGTTACAAAACTTTTTTTACATATTTTCTT